CTCACACCAACCACAATTGTAGTGTTTCTTTGCAACTTTTCTATAGTTGAAGATACCCGTCAAGCGATCACGGTGGACGAAATGTTGAATTTTTCTCAATCCCTCATCAGATCTTTTGCTCTCTAATTTCTCCAGTGCTGCATCATTGGTGGAAGCAGCGCACGAGACATCAACTTTGAAATTACAAACACTGCAATGGTATCTGTGGCCTCGAGAAAGAGTGAAGCATTTATCGCAAATGAAATCGTCAGCATCGTGGCCCTTGAAAAGAGTAAGGAGGTGTTGGCTATGGAGAGGGTGTGAAATCTGAGGAGGCAGTCGCTCTTCTGCACAATATGAATGCAACCAGAACTTCCGGCAACTTTCACAACTATAAGCCCACCCATCAATTTGCTGATTGCATTTATCACAACTCGCCTCCTCAATATTATCGTAATGACCGTAGCAATCATACAACAAGTAGTGTTTATGAAGGAAAGGTTTGATGTCCATCTTAATTCTCGAAACAGACAGATATGGGGTTGATGGAGATCAGGGAGAGAGAGAGAGAGAGGAGAAATGATATAGTAGATTGTTTATTACTATCTTTTAAAATGACCCCATTACAATCATCTTTGTACAATGGAATTAAATCATTATATTTTACTCTTTTTTCCTCGAGAATAATCTTCCTAGATTTATCGTCAGTACCATATAAAAATTTATTTCCACAAAACTAAAAGGAAGAGGAAATTTGAATGCATGGATTGTTTTTCAATCAATTTAAAAACGGAGTTGCCTGCCTACTTTAATCCTTTAGGAATGTTGGAAGAAAAGAATGATTAATTATGGACAAAAACAAAAAAAAAAGGCAAGAGCTAGCATTTAAGGGATTGCCATTACCTTGTCCAACTGAACTAGTTACGACCATTTGGAAGGATTTTGTGAATATATTATTCTAAATAATTAACGGCAGAGAATATTTGAGGTCACTTTATTACTTTATTCTAATCTTCCTTGGGGAAACTGCTGGAGAAAAGAAAATGTACTCTCTCTAGTTTCTTCCTTATATTATAATGAATTAGAATTGCTTTCATGAGAGTAAAAGTATGAAGCATATATTGCTGTCTTGAAATATTATCTTCTTTTACAGAGTGTAAAGAGGAGCAAAGAATATGATACATGCATTTCTCCGCTTATTATTAAGTGATTAATTAATGGGTGTTATATTTTATTATATGTCCCAAGCCATGGGGATTATCAATAATATATAGAAAACAAATGCTCATGAATTTTTATTTTCTGCAATTGCATTGGGGATTCGCTACAATTGATCAAAACTCTTAATCCGTTTAAATATTAAAACTTTGAATATTCGGTTTTAACTTAGAAATTTTAATGTAAATTTCGGGGTAATTTCTTTTTTTTTGAAAGATTCAAAAGTGTATTAATCCAATAAGGGAATACACCAAATTTGGGATAACTTTTAGGGAATGTTAACTCAAATAATTAACCTTTGAGAGCATAGTTATTTCTTATTAGGGAGATTTATTTATGACATTTAGAGGTAATAGGGGTAATTCTATATTTTGACTGATTGATTAGTTTATAAGAATGACTAGATTTTTTTTCTACGCACATTTTACATTTTAAAGTAAATCAGTCGTGTAACTTTAAGAATGAAAATAGATCACCCCCTTCCATAGAGTTGCTTCAACCTTATCGTACAAATGTTAGAATTGGTGTGCAACTCTTGTGATTATAACATAATTATTAAATAATTAGTCTATACACAAAAGTGGAATTATGAATTTTGACATATGAAAGAATTATATATTTTGTAATTACTGGAATAATTTTTCTTTTACTCCTGAGATTTCAGTCCTGAAATTTCATTTCTAGTACTGCATAAAGGAAAGGGAATTAAAGCTGAATGTAATCGGTCCACTTTGTGGGGTTTTATAGTATTTAAGTAGAATTATTAATACATAAAACAAACTAGCATTATCACAATTATTAGCAGGAGAAAACTACGAGTTGTTTTTCCTTTTTCTAGCAGTATCACATTATTTGCTTTCTTCTTCTAGCATATATAGTGAGCATGATTGAAATTTACAAGATAATGAGGATCTTGTTCTTCTATAACTATATTCTTCAATCTCCCAATACACTAAATAGTAATAACATGACATTTCAAATATTTTCCTTTTAAGTGTTGATAGTTATTCCATGAATCTATGCTTCATCTAGCCTTGAAAGGGTAGGGCTGCTTTCTTTACCACTCTGCTATATGCTCCTCTTGATTGCATTATCTCAATTTTCTCCCTTGTGAAAGATTAGCTCTCGGCGTGGATCTAAATTCTGACTCCAAACTCAAGATTGCTCTTGTTGCTGGTGAAGTTTTTTTTTTTTTTTTTGAAAGGCAGATATATCAGCATCAGCATTTGTGTGCCATCCACAGTCTCAAATCTTTTGGTTTAAGACTATTGTTGGCATCAACCTAACCTGAGCTTCAGAAGCATTGGAACATTTACACTTCAATCTTCTCAAAAGACTTTGGCAGAGGCTTATCCTGTCCTGGTTTGTCCAAGAGACTCTTCAAAATGAAAGAAACTAGCCTCACCTCTTGAAGACAACCATAATGTGAACAAGAATACACACAAGGCAGCATTCAGAATTTACAAACCACAGAATTACACATCCAGCTATCTCTCAAAACGAAACCCTCTCCCCAACTTTTAGAAGACCACCAACAGCAACTCAGCTCCACCACTTAAATGCTCGTGCTCAGCAGATAAAGCACCCAACAACCCAGCTCAAGCCAGAAACTCTTAGCATTCAGCAGACAAGAAGACAAAAAAACCTGAGATGAAAACAGCTCCTGAGGAGACCCAATCATTGACTGAACAGAAAACTTGTCCCTTTGTAGTCCACCTCCTAAAGCTTCGTTGCTTCGTATCCAAAATATGTGGCGTTGGAAAGAACCTACATTAACCAACATCCCTGCTCCATCCTTCTGGTGAAGATTCTTCCACCTGACAAAGGAAAGATGTTGTTAGTTTCTGAAACTGAAAACATTGCTAACATTGTATTCGGGAAAGAAAATAAATAGCATAGTTCACTAAATTTAATAGACAATTTTTTTTTTTGTCATATGCACATTTCATTTGTTTCATAAATGGAGATAATTCAAGACTGACTGCCCATCAGTCTTCTACTCTCCTTTGTTTGTTTTTGGACTCCCTCCCTAGAATGAATGTGTTTTTTAAAAAAAATTATGGAGATTATTGGCAAATTATTCTAGAGGGAAAAAAAATGTACAGTTCCGTGTAGATATTATGCAACACAAAGTCTATGCTTCACCAGCCAAGACAGAGTAGTGTGCTTCTAACTAAAACAGAAAAAAGACAGAATGATCCATTATATTTTCAGCATTAGTACAAAATTCTGATTAAATCCATCAAATTTCAATATGACAGGGCAAATTGGTTAGATTTATAAATTTTCCAGTCCAAGCTACAAATGAAATTTTATGTGCATACAAATTTGTATGTGGTGTTCTTTTGAAATATTAGTAATGGTATGGACAGATTATTTCTAACAGAGATCATAGATTTACATGGACATACTCGTGAAGACACACATCCAATGTGAGTGACGAAGAGGCCTTGACATTCCTCACAATAATAGATATGATCTTTTGATTGTCTTTCTTCTTCACAAATATTACAACAGTACTCTCCCAAGTCATCCTCAACATAAGAGTATTTAAGAGTAAAAGGATGGATGTGACGGATGGACTTAATCATTTGCGGTATAGGAACACATTTCAAATAGAAATTGACAGCACACTCCACGCAACGATAGAAGGGTCCATTGCACATTTCATTGCATGTACTACACAAGAATCTAACTTTATGGAGTTCTCCCACAATGTCCCCTACATCGTGTAATATTTCACTATATGTTCCGAAGTCGGGCACATTGTGGTCAAAGAACATTTGGCTATCTGTTCCGAAGTAGTACAGATTGTGCTGGTGGGAACCAGATTTTGAGACTATCCTAAGGGAATTAGCACACACCAAGTGGAAGTCAAGTTTACACTGCAAACATCCATATCCAATGAAATCCTGCTGGAAAGACCTCAATTTGAACCCCAATTCGCAGGCATGACACATTTTGTAATTAGGATCCTGGAAGGCAACTAAAGGATGTAACGAATGAAATGGGTGTTTTATCTCTTGCGGTAATGTTCTAACGCAAGATTTGTGAATAATATAAAGGCAATCAAGGCAAAAATAGCCTGATATATGTACAAGATTGCAGCCACAACATGCTAATGATATATGTACAAGATTGCCAGGGACCAGCATGTGCTCATGACTGAAATGGAGTAACTTGCTTTCTTTTTTGCCATGTTTTGGCTCTTGGCTCCCAATCCTAGGAGTAGCTAACGCTGCGCATTTCACATCGAGCTTGAACTGACAATCCATGCAGAGTTAAACAAAACCAACAGAAAATTCTCTACATTCATCACATAAAAAGCATGCGATTTTTGAATGAGGGAATTTAGATAAAAGGATGAGAGAATGTAGGGAGTGAAGATGGTGTTGCAGCTCATAGGGTAACTCAGCACAGGCTTTATGTAATCCATAATTCTCACAACATTTACCGATGTAGACTGCACCATTAAGCTCTTGCCAACAAGCACGGCAGTTACCATTTTCATACCTTTTGGTTATATGGAAAAGGTTCAAGGGATCCCAGTGGCTAAAATGTTGAATCTGCATCTCAAAGGACAAAAGAGAGATAGAAAGTGGATAAACTTGTTTTATTATATACTAACAATTTTAAGTAAAGTTGAGGAAAGTACCTCGAGTGCAGGTTTTTTCGAGGGCTTCAAAGGATAAGGGCTCATCGTTTTGGAGCCAATGATGGATGTCGATGCCTATCCTTGATTGGCTTCATTTTTCTCTCCTCTTTCTTCATTCTCATTTTCGCTCTCATCCTCATCTTCTTCATCACTGCTTTTTCCATTCTCTAATTTCTCTTTGTCTTCTTCCTTAAGTTTCTCCTCTTTATCTTTGAGCTCCCCTTCTTTCTCTTCTTCACTTGTTTCCTCTTTGTCATCATCCTCTTCTTTTTCTTCTTTACTGCTTTCCTCAGTCTCCTCTAAATCCTCTTCTTCTTCCATCTTTTCCTCATCCTTCCCTTCTTTCTCTTCTTCAGTCGTTTCCTCTTTGTCATCCTCCTCATCTTTTTCTTCATCATTGTTTTCCTTGTTCACCTCTAATTCCTCTTCTTCTCCCATCTTCTGCTCTTCCTTCCCTTCTTTCTCTTCATATTCTTCCTCATAATTTTCCTCCTCTTTCCCTTCTTCGCTCATTTCCTCTTTGTGATGCTGCTCTTTGAGTTCACTAGTCCATTCCCCATCGATAACGTCATTCTCTTCTTCCTCGTCATCCTTACTTCTACTTTCTTCATCTGTTTCCTTCTCCTTCTTTTCCTCTTGTTTAAGGTCCTTTAACAAAAGGTGTACTTCTTGCATCTGACCAGAAGGTCACTGTTACATATCATCTTGTCCATGCATTGCTTTTGTTGTCATTGCATTCATACATTTCTTTCAAATTTTCTCCATTTCTAAAATGTTTTATTCACTTTGTGCCTACATAAATGCTTTTAAGGAAATCAATTTGATGAACTCTAAACATGAGTTAAAGTTTTAGTTGCATATGCTCTTCACTTCATGTTGTAAGAGCTTGTTTGGCCCCCTAGAACTACAGTGAAAAATGTTATTGGAATAATATTTTTTTTTAAAAAAATTAGTTGTAGATTAAAATGAATTAAGAATGTTTATTCTTCCTTGCTATTATCTTTAAAGGCTTTAATTGTAAAGGTACATGTACATATATACTTGTTCAGGATTTAAATGACCTTTTTGAAGAGTAAACCACACTTTCCTAAACAAAAGTTTGTTTAAAACATGACAAAGAAAAAGAAATATGGTTGTACCCCAAACAAGTGATTCCTGTTGGTATTGTTACCAACTGTTTCTTTGAGCTCTGAAAATTTTCCATTACTCTGTTGAACTCTTTTCACTAAATCCATTCACTTCATCACTTCAGAGTCAGAAACCTATGGCCAAAACTAAAAAGTCAGATATCCTATTCATGGTTGTTTTTCGATAAAACACGTACATATTTAGCTGTGCAAATAGAACAAGGCAAAAGAATTATCTTTAATTACTAATAGATACATTGAGACTGCATGCAATTCATAGAAAATTTCCCAGAGAGATTGTAAATGATCAAATGTGGGCTTATTACCTCTTTGACAACATATTTGACATGAGCAATATATCTGCACTTCTTATAATAATAAATACGATGCTTCAGATTTCTTTCTTCTTCACGGATATCACAATAAAAATCTCCAGAATCATCTTTAATTATCCCACGATGAAGGGCAAGAAAATGCCTATGATATCTATGTTTAGCTATAGGTGGTATTGGGATCTGCTTAAATCACATTGCACACAACGGTGGAAAGCACCTTCTTCATTGTTTCTGGCATTACAGTCACGGCCACAGGCATTGCAATTGAAACCGAAACCCACTCCAGAATTTCTCAAAAGGTAGGTGAGACTATGCTTATGGCATTTATGTTTGAGTGTGGATAGCAGCCTAGCACAGTGAATGTGTAGGTAGAATTTACACTCATGACAGTTATAACATATTTGTAAATACGGTAAACTTCTAGGTTTACAGCAAGAGAATTCACAGTCGCCATGGTTGTATTGCACGTAAAGATAGTGTGCGGGATGAAAAGGATGCTGCAATTTTTTGGGTATCTTAGAAATACAGGATTCATGGAGAAAGAACCTGCAAGCAAACATTCCAGTATGAAACAAACCATAGGACATGCCTGATAAACGCTTGTCACACCAAGTTCAATCAACTTCATAATAGTTTGCTGTCTTCCTGTACTTGAAGCGAGCCAATGGTTCGCCATGGCTGAAATGATTGATTCTCTTTCTCGCCCTGCCTGCAGGTATCTGACCCTGATCTTCTCGAGTGATTTGATCCTTAGTTGAAGAAGCACATGCTAAATCAACATCGATATCGCAACTGTAGCAGTGGAATCTAGGGCCTTGAGAATTGCGGAAACATCTTTCACATAAGAAATCCAGAGACATACCTTTTAAGTCTGAGCTGGTGCATTGCGTGGGAAGGTTGGGTAATCTCTGATGGCATCTGTTTTTTGGCACACAAGCTGTGCACCGAAAACTTGCATGTTTCACAGGCTTAAACCAAACCATAGATCTCCTTGTCGCAAACATCACATTCTTCCTCGGTTGTCCCCTTTTTCCACATAAACATGGAACAAGGTATGCTTATGAGAACCATGACAGATAGATCCCTCCTCCTTTTGTTGCGAATTCCCCATGGTCAAGAAAAAATGCCAAAAAAAAAAAAAAAAAGAAGTAGTAATTACTTATATGAAAGATACTAGATTCATGGAAGGTGCCAAGAGAGGCAAATGCTATGGCTTGGGTTCTGCTGCTTGGGTTTAAGCGGATATTGAATAGTAATGGAAGGGTGTGTAAGAGAGGAAGGACTGCCAATCTGTGTCTAAAGTGACATGTAATTTGGAAGTGGTTTCCCTTTGGATTGACAAAATAATTTAACTGGTAATTGCTAGGTTTAATTTGCGGCCCACAAAGCTATTTGATCAGAGACCCACAAAATTATTATTATTTCTGTAGTTATGGGATGGCGAATTAGAGACGGTAGGAATATTATTTGAATGTTGTACAAGAAAAAATAAATTAATTCATTTAACTAGCTTTCCTAAAAATAAAAGGTGCACTCTAAATTAAATAATATTATATAACAATTATTCTAATTGTGTGATGGAAGCATGGACGACATGTATCTACTTGTTGCTCTGAAATAATTAAAGGTAACAACTTTGGGTTAATTAATTGGGTGATTTATCAAGAAACAACCCTGCTTTAAATTTAATTATTAGAGAATAAAGTTCTTTACTTATTGTGAAA